TTCCTCTTGGACTCTTGCATAAATGTTTTGGATTTCTTCAGCATCTGTTGTTGGAGTGTAGAATTGAGTGATGGTTATGCTGATAGGGGTTTTTTTTTTTTTTTTAGGAAAGCTGATTAATATGATTAGGTCAGACTTTGCAGTATAGCCTGTGCTACATCACGCCACACTATTAGAGCCATTCCATTTCTTCTGAGTTTGTCATTTCCAGAGTAAAACCTTTGTGTTTGTCTGACTGCAAAAGTCCCATTCCAGTCCACTTTAGTTCACTGACACCAAGGACTGTGATGTTTAACCATCCATTTCTTGCTTTACAAATTCATACTATTTGCCTTGATTGATACTTCCCACATTGTATGTGTTGTGGCACATCAAACTTTTCTTTCACTTCTCTACCTGTTGATTAGTAGACTTTTTTCAGCTTTGATCTAGTTGTGCCATTAGCAACAGCATGATTTTTACTTGTTGCTTGTTCAAGTAGCTGGTTGTCTTCCAAACTGGGAGCATCATCTTCTGGTACTATCTCTTGTTTCATTTTGGATTGTTTCATTATAAGGTAAGAATATTCCACTGCTGCCTTCTTCATGATATGAAGCAGAGTTTGCATAAGCATCACGGCTGTTTTCTGTGAAAGATTCTTTCCCAGTGCCCATTGGCAACTTCAGTTAACCTTGCTACCCAGTTTCCACTCTTCAGGAGTTTCTCCGCTCCAGTCATCATTAGAGATATCCAGTGCCTTCTGCTAATGTGACTTCTGAAGCAGCTGAATGGCTCTTAGTCTGGTGTCTCCACTTTGACCATTCTGCCTTGGGTGAGCCTGCTAGGTGACCAGCCCGGTGAGAGAGTCTGGCCTCCTGGTGGTATTTTTCTAGGCTTTTCAGACACTCTCAAATTGGCTTATCACATTAATTTCTGCAACCGAAGGGGATGTTTACCTATAGAGCATAAATATTTTCCTTAAACTGCTGGCATGATTTACAGCAGCTTAGAGTAACTGTATTTGAAATTCTTTTTAGTGGAATTGTAAGTGTAGATTATTTTGTTTCATTGAAGTCAGTGTGGTTAAACATTGTTGCTATTTATAGCATTATCAATGCTTCTGCACAGTACGAGAGGACAGGTCCGTGTCCCAAGGAATCCATAATTTAACATTATTCTAGAGGAAACAACAGAGGCAGCAAGGGAAGTAGAAATAGGAGTAAACAGGGAAATATCAGGCAATTATTCCAGTTATACTTGCCTTGGCTTAGTTATAATTCTAAACTCATTGTCAGGCAGTTAAGCCCATTGAGCCTTACTTCTGAGTGAGCATATTCAAGCTAGAACTGTCACTTATGGCTGGACATGTAAAACAGCCAGAGCCCAAATACTCTGGCTTAACTGTTTTGTGGATTGGATCATTAAAATGGTGAAAGGACTGCTTACACTGGCATAGCCCCACTAGAGTCAGTGGGTCTATGCCAATGTAAGCGGTCAGTGAATGGCTGCCTTAAATTAATAGTTCTGATTAACTACTATGTGAGAAATCAAAGGCTAACTGTTACTCTGTGGGCTACACACTTGACTGGTCTCCTTCCCCATCAGTCTCAAAGAACAAGAGGTAAAGTAGGGCAGCCTAGACATGACTCATCACTTACTCTACAATGTAGCCAAAGGACACACGAAAAATAAACAGAGAGGATGTGAGGTTAAGAACAGCATGAAACAGTCCTGCTTATTGTATATAGTCATCAAGGTATCAGAAAGGTACCACAGAGACTTATTTTTCAAGGATTTTGTACATGATTATATTTACCCATATCTGAGTGGCTCCACAGAGACTTCAGTTTGCTCCGGCATGCATCTACCAGGCCTCAACAGTGGGCATAGTAATTCTTATAAAATTATTTTTAATCCTAAAATGTTCCATAAGTTAAAGTAGCTTTCAGACATTTCCTATTTTAACACAGTTATAATAGAACACTGATTCATTGCGTATTAAAACAGATATAAAATTGCAACTGTGTAGTTAAAACCTCTTCAAATGCAGTTAATGAATACATTTTCCATTGAGGTCACAGAAGCAGTCAACTAACAGTTGTAAAGCAACATTAGAACTCCATTCTTATGTTTGGTTTGGTGTTAAAACATCACTAAAATGTATCACTATCAAATTTGCCTCAGGAACATTGCTTCTGAATGTGTTCCATCATAGCAAGCTATGTGCTTACCTGATTAGAGGGCAAAATTGCCTCTTCCACAGTGTAGTAAACCCCAATATTAATATATCTCTCCTTAGCAAGTGGGGCATGTTCAATATCTTACAAAGCAGGTAACAAAAAATGCAGTCAGAAAAAGATCAAGTTCAGAGGATTTACACACTTGTGTGCAGCAGGTTCCAAACTGATGGATTTGTCCAGAGAAAAGCATGTTTAAATTGAGGACCTACTGCATGAAGAAAAGTTAAAAAGCAGAAGCATCTACCATTGCACCAGTAACTGGTCTGCACCTGAGCCCTTTTAAGGGCAAATTATCACCCACCACCACCACACCTTTCTTGGTAAAAGATAGCCTTGCACTATGGTGGGCTCTCATTTTTCATGTACTTTCAATTATGAGTCAAGAGATTGTCTAAATAGACCGACCTGTTTCTCTTACTCAGAGCCATCCAAGGAGCAGTTTAAATGCACTATTAGAAGAGTGAATTCACCAGTTTTATGCTTCCACTTCTCTCAGGATCATTGATAGCGATCTTATCACTTTTAACTCCAGCAATATAGTTTCTAATAAAGCAGACAGTAGAACTTTGGAGTGACATTCAGCCATTGCTACCCTTTCTGTTTTTTCCTCAGGAGCATTCCAAATTTCTTAGCCATCATTAATTAATATTAATTAGGTGACTTAGGAAACATGAAACAGAAAACAGGAATTTTTGAACATATAAAACAGAACTCCTCTTTAGATTTATTTTATTATTAAATGTCACTTTCTGTCCTGCCTTTCTGCACAAGTCTTCAAGATAGTTTGCAAAAATATGCCACCTTTTTATTCCTCTTTAGTAGGATACCATCAGACACAATTGTTTGTCAGCAACATAGCAACATGTAGAGGGAGAATCCCTTGCTGTAAACAGTTTATAAAATAATATCAGAGATATGATAGAGGCCTGCCTAGTACTTTTCTTTCTTCTGACTGCAGCAGCCTCAGAATTAAGTTGTACCAGTTGGGGGGAATTTCTTAGCTAGATCTGAGCCCAGGTATTATGGATAAATACCTTTCTGCTCTCCTCCTTACCACAGCAACTTAAGCTGGCATAATGCAAGAATAAACCTTTTGTTAAAGAAGAGCTTTGTTCAGGGTGAACAGAAGAGAACATAAAATGAGACATATCAGAATTATACCAAATGCCCTGACCTGTTTTAGATATTAAAAGCTAAAAATGGGTGCTCACAGAACACATACTGTGTATTTAAAAGGCTAGTGGTTTGGTCCTTAGCAGCTTTGGTTGAAAATTGGAACACGGTTAGTTAGACTTGGAAGGAACCCATCTGAGGCCTTGTATGCTGCCAGTCAGAGTACCATGTAGGTTAAATAGGCCAACAGTTTGACTCGATGTGAAGTAACTTCAGAAGTTCACAGCAGACCCAGAAAAGTTCTTTTTTAGATAGTTACCCAATACGAGAACTTGTTAATAGTTCTTTAATCATATTTGACAGAGAAAAATACATTATCTGTACAAATGCAGGAATGGAAGTTACACGACCAAGGAAATAATTCCCTTTATTCACTGTTGACTGATACTTTGCCTTCCAAAACTTTGCAATCTGTTTCAATTGGATGTAATTTCTCAGTGGAGAGAAAGGTACTTGGTATCTTGGAATGGCACAAAGGCCTCTAGATAAGGGGAAGTGGTTAGGGTACAACTTCTGCTTTAAGTGTTGCTAGTAATTTTTGCAAGCATGACTTTGTAACCTGTAAGATTTTAGAGCCAATTAAACCCTGTACTGCACAAAAGACTCTGAGCTGATTCATGGAAAGTAGGAGTGAGTATGAATGCCCTGGTGCACAGCTTTCAGCAATGGTCTCATAAAAGTGAAGTTCTGAGAATGTCTTGGCTTTACACTGATTTTCTAAGCTCTAAGAAGATTATGATTTCTTAACTGTTTTTCTGTCATTATAATTTGTTACAATTGGTTTTATCCCTAGAAGAGCCATGTGCAGTAAGGTAGTGACTTGGCCAAGGCAATCTTTTGTTCTTTGCAACTAGGTTAGGATTTTAACAGCATTCTCCCTGATTCAAGTCAGTACTCTTCCTGCTCAACGCGATACCACATTGGCATGGAGTATCACTAAACTTTATTTTAAAATATTAGGTATATTTTCCCTCCTATAAATGCCTGTGTAAAGTCATTTACATGAATTAGCTGTAGTTTTATTTTGGTTTTAAAGATAGCATTTTTCTCATTGGTAAATTTGGGCACATTCTTTTGCCAGTTGCATACTATCTTGTTTGCATAATGCTTTTCTTGTGATTATTTCAAAATCAACCCCTTCGAACAATCCATCTCTATAGGACCAAGCAGCAAAGCACCAATACATTCTGAAACCTATGGCATGAATATGCTGTGCTTGCAGAATGGAAGGGGGACCTGTGTTTAGACATTCAGCTGCTTCCCTCATCAAGATTTTTTTTAATCCAAGAGTTCAAAAGGCTGTTTTCCTCTGGCAATAGACTTTTTGATTAAAAAGTGAACCTTTGTGTTAAAATGACAGTGGTCAATGAGCAATGAGATTGGCAACCATAGAACACTTGTTAATGCTGTTTATTATCTTAATGTTAATGGTATGTTGTTATAAACCTTCAATGAATAATATTTTTCTGTAAGTTAAACCACACAACAAGGTGTGCATTATAATGTAGGATATGAATAGCTGCTTGGCCTATATATTGTGAGAGGTGAGATTCTTATGTTTTCACACACATTTTTGTAATTAAAAATACTGCACATTATTTTTTACAGAAAGAATATGGATTGAGGCTAAATCAGGTATTTATTATTTTCCATTATTTATCTGTGTGTAAAGAGGAAGACTTTAGATACCAGACCTAATTAAAAAGAGCTAATTTCCCCTAACAATATGCTTTTATGGTGCCTTTTCCTGAAATCCCCAAAATTCATCCTCTACTCTGTGTGTGACTCTCAGTAAATGTTGCATTATCTAAAACTACTTACCATAGGGAATTGTTGCTTATTGCAGCCAACTGTTATACATAACACAAATGCCACCACTATAAAATAGACACAGCACTTTATATGTGATAGTGCAAAGGTATTTTTACCCCCACCGCCCAAACTGACTGAATTAAGACCTCTGAGCCACTGTACTTGCAAAACAACCACCAGACAAAAGTTCAGGCCTACCTGAGTACGTATAAGTATGTACTATGCTTGCAAGGCACTTACTTGTGTGACCAAGAAATGCCCTGCTGGTATCTGTAACTGTTTAAAAAACTAAAACAAATCCAAGGAGCCTTTCATAAGGAAGTGCTGGCTTCCAGTTACCTTCTGTCTTCATTGCCCTGAATGTCTCTGAGCCCCATGAGGTGGGAGAGATGGGGAGAGAAAGCATGGAGAAATTGTGTATGTGGCGGTGTTTTGTGAATATGTGTGCTAGAAGGTGATCCTAAAAGAAAGAGGAATGAGTGGCTGAGATGAATGGATGTTCTGTGCTAGAAATATGGATAGAGAAGGAAGGAGATAGAAAGCTGCAGGCTCAGAGGAGTGGGTTGGTGTCTGTGGGCACAGGTGGTATCTCTACCATATATTCAGGGTCTTGGGCAAATTATTGGGCTTGCAGCAGCGATGGTATAAGGGGTCTCTCACTAGGGCTAAGCCTCCACTCTGCTGTCCATGGGCACTCACTGAAACAAAGGGTTTGGGGCCCTGCTGCTCTCTGTTGCATCCAATCCCCCTGGATTAGTTGGCTTTTTGCTCACATTTGCTTCATCCAGTTTGGTTTCCATCAATCTGCCCTTCCCCAAATTATGGATAACCTCTGCATTACTCAAGTTAAAAACCTCTATTCAGTATTCATTGGGCAGGATCCCTCCATTTCCTTCAGCAATGTTGAACATTTTCTATCTTCCTACCTGATTATTAATCATTGGGTCAAGGCTGAATTCCTTCCTCTGCTTTCCTTCTTTCTGGTGGGCACCATTTTCCCTTTCTACACACTGTCCCTGGGCAATCTCATCAGATTCTGTGGCTTCCAGTACCATCAGTACTGTACTTATTTACCACTCAACAGTCTTTCTCACTCCAGTCCTGCACTTCCAACTCTCTCTCTCTCTCATTCTCTCTGATATTTTTTGTTTGGATGTTTCATTATCATCACAAATTCTATACATCAAAGTCCAGGCATTTTATCTTTCCTCCCAAACCCCACCTCCTTCTTATGGTTTTCTTATTCAGTGACAAATGTTGCCATCTACCATACTGAACAGATATGTTGCCTTGGCTTATCTTTGATGGTCTCCTCTACTCCCCATATTCATGCCATTTGCAACATTGCAAAAATATGACCTTTCCTCTCTGAGCCATTGGTGAAAAGTTTGATCCATGCTCTGGTTATTGCTTACCTAAACTACTGACATCCTCTCTGGTTTTTTGTTACCTCACGCTGGCTCTCTTGCATCTATCGACCCAGAAAATTATTTTGATGCCAAAATAATTTGCCTTTCCATCACTTGGACCACAACACACTTAAAAACATGTCACAAAATTCTGGTCTGTTCCCTGATCTAGCCCTAGCTCCTTGTCCTTATCTTCAAAGCCATCCACTGCCTTCCCCTGCTTCAATCCCTGGTTCAGTAGTCTTATGTATCCCTGCCTGTGATCAGACTGACCTTTGCTGCTTCAGACTGACCATTTTCCACTGTCCAAAAGTCTTATGCCCCCACCCATTCTCCCTTCCTGCCCTGTATGTGTGAAACTAAATGTCCTAAATGACTATACCCTTGAGCAGCTGATCATGGAACCAAACAGAGGGGAAGCAATTTTTAATTCAATCCTGTGGGGTGGAGGGTTGCCTAGGACCTAAGTTGAAATGTGACTGTTGTTTAGCCAGTTGGAAACAGTGACCACAATATTTTGTTTAATATGCATTTAAGTGAAAGAGTGTGAAAGAGGTTCAACGGTCATGTTGGATTTCAGAAGAGGAAACTTCTTTAAAATAGGATAACTGATAAAAAGGAGATTGAAAGGGGGAGCCAGGAACCCTAAATCCCTTCAGAATGCATGGAGTTTACTCAAAACCGCAATAATAGAAGTTCAGATAGAAAATCAAAAATTAGCATGAAGTCCAAGAAGTCACCAGCATGGTTAACAAGCCATGTCAAGGAAGCTATTAGAGAAAAGAAGGCTTGAGAAGTCTTGCTCAAATGAGGAAAACAAATGGGACCACAAGTTTGCACAGGGGAGATGGAAGCAGATGATAAGAGAACTAAGATCATTTTGAGGAGCATACTGCTAATAACACCAAGGCCAACAGTAAAGAATTGTGTTCAGTTATGGTTACCACAACTAAAAAAGGACATTGTAGACTTGGAAAAAGTAGAGAAAGGAGCAACAAAATGATCAAAGGGTTGGGCCAAGTCCCCTATGAGGAAAGTTTCAAAAGTTGAGATTGTCTAGCTTGCAAAAAATGTGACTAAGAGGAGGCATGACAAAGGTTTACAAAATGACACCTAAGAGCATGTGGTGTGGTGAAAGTGGAGCGGTGGACATTTTCCCTGCGTCTCCCATAATACTAAAGCCTGAGGTCATCCCAAGAAGTTGATTGGTGGGAGATTCGGGACAGATAAAAGGAAGTAATTTTCCACACAGCACACAGGCAAGCTATGAAACTCAGTTTTACAAAAGGTAGTGATAGTCACCAGTTTGGATGACTTTCGGAGGGGGTTGTGCAAATCCATGAAGCAGAAGCCTTTCAGTGGCTACTAGTCCTAATGGCAGTGTGCCAGTATCAGTGGCAAAAGTAGATGACAGGCTAAGTCGGTCCTTAAATAGAGGTAAGCAAGGCTTCAGGCAGAATAACAAACTCTTCTAGGTGAAGTTCTTGATCAGGGCGTGAACTGATGGGAATAATGGCAGATCTCATTAGAGATAGGGAGTGCTAAATACAAGGGTCCTATCCTGATATTTATTGCCTGTGTTCCAGCCCAAACCACTTTTGAAGCAGGCAGGGGTCTTAGAAATGGTTATAATACGCAGGAACCTACTGTACATTTAAAAAAAATACAAACTAGAACAGAAGCCTACTGGATATGCCCAAGCTACTTCTTGAACCTACTTCAAGTACCTCTTTTCAAAGTCCAGCCAATGATTAGGATTTGAACCTGATGTGGAAAACCAGTGCAGAAGTTTTAAGGAGAAAGGGGAAATGATCCTAAAACGAGAAGAGAAGATTAGCAGCTGTGTTCTGAACTGACTGGTAAGGGGGGAGGGGGGAAATAACAGAAGGGAAGCTGGAAAGGAAAGAGGTTTCAATAGTCTAAGTAGAATATTATTGGATTACTGATCTTTATGCTTGTGTGTTTTGCATTATAAAATTAAAATATTTTTAAAATAACTACCTGTGGTGACCCCATGAAGTAAAAGGTGAATGGACATTACTAGACTGTGTTAACTGGAAGGAAAGTAGAAAACACCAATTCATTGGAACAAATTCTGTGCAGTTGTTAAAAAGATGCATTATTCCATGGTGTGGTTGCAAAGAATGGGTCATTACTACTTTCTACAGTATATAATCACTAGGTGGCCTGGGGTATGTTTTCTTTTTGCTCTGGATCATGTAAAAAGTTTACATTATTTGTTTATGGCATTTTTATTTATTTTCTTATATGCTTATTAGTTCACTTTCCCATAAAAATTGCCCCAAGAGACATGCATAGATAACCTAAACCTGCTGGGTATATCTTTTCATTATTCTAATGCAGTCACTGAGTTTGTTTGATTCTATGTGGGATGAGCATGTGTGTTTCACAGAGGTATTTCAGGGCCCCATACATGCACGCCTAAATCATCAACTGGAAAAAAAACAAGAACAGACCTCTGGAAGTCAGTGGAGTCACACTCAGTAATACAAGCTGAGGATCTTGTCTGAAGCCAAGCATGAAAGACCCTTCCTTTTCACAACGTTTGCTTTCATTGAGGCTTAATAGAAACATAGCACTGGATATATTACATTTTCCTGCCAGTCAATTATTGAAGTTGGCATTCAGTATACTTGTCCATGGAATACGTAAAATGTTGGCTAATAGTGGTAGTATTTGACCCAAAACCTAACTGAATAGATCTGTGGACAATTTTTGGCATCCAAATGGTGGTAGGAGATCAACACATTAAACTTTGCCATATATTTTAAATAGAGTTTGACTTGTAGCTACCCAATATATGGAATTGTATGCATCACTGAAGTGCAAGCTGTGCAGCCAAGCTCTGGTCTCCATTGAATAGAATTTAGTTTGGGGAGTTATGCTTTTTTTCACAGTTGCAAATTTGGCCCTATGTTTTTAATGTCTTTTTTATTGATAAGCCTCTGCTTGTCTCACTCCATTAAGCTAGTCTAGACTACAGGCTTGAGCCGCATTGGTCTCCTGAGTTTTGGATGTTGTAGCAGGTCTTCACCACTCACTCAGTTCATAATTGGTATCAACTTACTTACATATTTGATGGATTGTTTCAAAATGAAACCATTTTAAACTGAATGGTTCCTTTTTCAAGTTCCAGAAACCACTTGATAAAATGATGTGCCAATTGTGTATAAATATCTTTACCGCAGGAATAAAGGAAGCCGTAATTCTGCAGATTTATGTTTTCTTTAGTTCATCTGTTTGCATTTATGAATAGTGAAAATAAGAAAAAAGAATTTATAGTGATGGGCAGTAATATAATGCAGTTTCTGTCCAAATGAACCAACTTCATTCAGTGATAAGGGAAACTATCAGGAAAGGCATCATCACTATCACCATCATCACATTTTCAAA